GGTTCAGATTAATTTGTGGCTGGCTCCCTTTGAAAAATGCCAGCATTTTTTCAAAATGTATTTTCATGCAACAGAATGGGGCAATCTCAGCAACAGCACTGCACTTCCTCTTGGAAACAGCCAAAACTCCCCCTTGGTAATACAGCACAGACTCCTGGGGATCATCTGGTTAAGTGTGACCTTGTTTCAACTCTGCCTTTGCAAAATAAATCTTAATAAACATTCCTGCCAGACTAAATTCTGAAGTTACAGCCTCCTTGGATATTCTGCTACTACTTCACACTTGCATGAAATTTTACATTTTCAGAGCATTGCATCAACTCTTACAAACTCTCACAGTGTTATGTGAGCTAGGGAAGGTCTGTGACTATTTCATTCTCTGTTTTCTTCCCTTATTTAAATTATACAGATCTTAATTAAAAAAAAAAAAAGCCCCCTTCAATATTTATAACTTTACCCAATGCCCTCTGGTTTGCAACAAAGGGCACATCAGAGAAGGAGAACACAATCCCCAGCCCCCCCAGAAATGCACTGATTGCTGCACTGTTGACTGGCTCTATGGACAGCTGGAAAGCCAAAGCACTCCTCACACAAACCCACCTTTAGGATGCCTTACTTAGAAATCAGATTTTTCATGGCTCCCTGTGTATAAAGAGCTTACACAAGACACATCCTGGAAAATCCCAAGTCACCCTCCAGAGATGAACTCTCCAGTGATTGCCAGGGAGGCTGAAGGAAAATCACTTCTTTATATCTCCACCTGATTTCTATAACTGACATCAGCTGGTGTGAATGTTCAGAGTTCTTTTTTTCCTCTTCCCCCTGCCCCCTCAGTATGAGTTTTTTATTTCTTTGGGTGTGCTCTTCATTTGGGAAGCTGAAATAAGTTTGTTATTTAATGTATATTAAGTTTGAAATGGGTTCACTGTTTTTCACTAAAGATTTTTTTGCTTTTTGAGCCCTTATGCTTCCCTTTGTCTTATATTTTAATATCCAGGTGCTGTGCACCTCCTAATGCTGGTACAACACAAAACACCTCAAGTGAGGCAGCTTCACCTTCAGAAGCAACTTTATTTTCTGAGCTTCAGATTATTCTTCTAAAACTGGACAGTAAGTCTTGCTTATCCTCACAGAGCACAGTAAAGAGAGGATAAACAGAAAAATTAAGTCAGTTAATCATGATCTAGAGCACCAAGATTTAATTTCTAGGTGCTGCTGGCCCTCCGTATAGCATTTGAAGTCATCTGGTCTGGGTGTGAGACAGCTTTGCTGCAATAACAAGACAATAAGATTTCCTCTTTTGGAGGAAGTCCTGTGTTTTCCTCAAAGCATTGACATTCTGTAAAGAGGCAACCTATGCATATCTTTGAGTAGAGAGATTTAATCCACAGACTGAAAACTTATATAAGTGTCTATCTATAATTTAATTGACATTGTATGGGTTAGCTGTGATAAAATCTGTTCCAACAGAACACATTCTTTCAGTTTTTGGTGTCCCGTCAGTCTAATTCCATGAGTTACTATTCATGCTTTTTATTCTGAGAGTCCTTCTAGAGTCTACACCAATTTTTGGCCAGCTTCAAAGTGCTAAACTTTTTTTTTTTTTTTTTTTACCCTAAATAGCATTCATAAACAGTGATACAAGTCAATCTACATGGAAGTGAGCAACAGAAAGAGCAAGCTGAGACACTGCTGCTCAAGGAACAGAGAGAGATGATAAATAAGTCCAAGAACATGCTGAAGCCTGGGATCCAGTTCAGACTGGTGTAACCCATATTAATCAAAGGAAAGCAGATTGCAAGGCCTTTCAGAGACCTATGAAGTTGATAAAAACTGAATATGATCAAGATGTTGTCCCCAAGGTCTTTGTTTTACCAAATTTGCACAAATAAATTACAGGAGGTATTTGTCTCTGAAGTGCCCAAGGCCAGGCTGGATGGGGCTTGGAGCAGCCTGGGCTGGTGGAAGGTGTCCCTGCCCATGGCAGGGGGCTGGATAGAGATGGGTGCTATGGTCTCTTCCAACCCAAACCATGCTGTGATTTGGTGAAAATCCAGTAAGCAATGGCAGCAGTAAGCCATGGGCTGGTGAGGTGTGCCTGCTTCCAAGAACTTGCTCAGTCTGACTTAGCTTCATGTTCTTACTGGCAGTTTACAGTAAGACATATAATTAGATCTCTATTATAGTTTCCCAATTCCCAGGAGAGTTTAAATGATAAGTTTAAAAGATGTAATTCCATCAGAATAAGAAATATTGAAGTGACTGTGAATTGTGAGGCGGAATTTTAGCACCGTGTGTTCCATCCACAATCATTTCCTATGTCTGCATGTTATGCAGATAATGAAATCAAACCTCCCAAATAAAGAGCTAAGTGACCTGGGGAGAAAATGGAAAATCAGTCTTAGATGAGTGAAAACTGAAAACTTGCAAGGGACCCTGACTACCAATTGGGGAAAAAAAAAAATCCATTTATCTATATTTGTATTTTTCATCACCAAAACACCTCTTGTAGATTATTGTAGCCATGATATTTTCTGAAAAATCCTTTCCTTAGGATTTTTTCTCCTGAGAAGCTGAGAGGCCTCAGGAACAAAATGTAACCAATGGTTCTCTGCTGCTGTGGAATGCAACAGGTGCATCTGGGATTGATCTCATGTGGTTGTTTTTAATTAATGGCCAATCACAGCCCAGCTGACTCAGACTCTCTGTCTGAGACACAAGCTTTTATCATTCTTGCTATTCTATTCTTAGCCAGCCTTCTGATTAAATCCTTTCTTCTATTCTTTTAGTCTAGTTTTAATATAATATATATCATAAAATAATAAATCAGCCTTCTGAAACATGGAGTCAGATCCTCATCTCTTCCCTCATCCTAAGACCCCTGTGAACACGGTCACAGGTTATCTAGTTTTATGGGTTAACTTTAAACATCCAAAGTCTGAAAAGCAAGCTTTAAAAGGGAATAATTAAGACAGAAGGCATGATGATATTCAAAGTTGGTTGTCTCTGCAGTGATTTTGCCCAGAATAGAAAGACTGAAACACTGGGACACTGTAATCTCCACTGCAGCTCATTTCCTCTGAATCTTCAGGCCTCTCTCCTCAGCATCAAACCCTCAGTGAAAGCCCTCAGTGAAACCTTCACATTCTGGAATTTAGCAGGGAGTGCACGGGCAGGTCTGGGCAGCCACACACAGCTACTCTGCTGATTATATTCATGTGATGAGGCAGAACATTGATCATAATTCTGAAGGATCATGATTTACAGTCAGAATGCACTTTGTTGTAAGCAGACTCCATCTTCCTCTATGTTTGTGCAAAACCCAGCACAATTATGATTTAATCTTGATTAGTTTACTAGCAACTGCCACAATTTAATAAACATTATACCTACGTGATTAACTTCCATAAATACCAGAAACTGTATTAAAAGCTTCCTCTCCAAGCAGGAAAATATAATATCTGTGTTTCACTTTACCCACATGCAGAATTCCAACCTCTCTGAGGCTGATCATTGCACAGGGGTGAATACACATGAGAAGCACACAGCTTATTCAGACAGGGGCCATTTTTGTATCACGTTTCAGAGTAAATTTGGCTTTAGAGATGAGTAATTCAGGCAACTGCTGAGAGCCTCACACAGAACTCACTCATGTGTTAGTCTGCTACTTCCTTGAAGCAGTGAGAACAGAGGTGGGAGGCAACACATGGTCCCAGCTCCACTGCAGAGCTGAGGATCCCACAAATTTGGAGGTCAGAACAGCAGAGATCTCTCTCCTGTCATTAGCTGAGCAGCAGATGTGATGCCAGGCTTTATATAGGAGACTCAGTGATTCATATTGTCTGTAGGTCCACTGCAAGGGGTTTATTTGGCAAAATAAGCTCTGAGAAGATGATCTTCAAACATGTCTGCTAAAGGTTAGGAAGGAAGAGCTGAAATGAGCTGAGTTTTAGCACTGCAGAGCACTGATTTCAAAATGCTTACAGGGGCCACTCTCTCCAAAATTATCATGCTGCAAATAGGTACCTGAAGATACATTTAAATCTTTACTTGGTTTGGTAGTTTTCTGGATTTGGGATCATTTTCAATGAGGCCAGGTAGAATTTTCATTATCATTATTATTATTAATAATTTGTACAAAAAAAAATGCAGAACTGGCATCATCTCACAGGGAGAAAAAAAGACCTAAAAAGAGGCAATCTGTCCTGCCTTAACTTGCAGGTATAAAGAGAAACCTCTCCCTTTTGGTTGCCAACCTCCTTTCACTTCTTTTCCATCTCAAGCTTTTGAAATTAACCTTTCTTCTCACAAAACACAATGATAAATGTAATAGAAGAAAGCCAAAATGTATGGTTTAAACTAGGTTTTGCAGTTATTCATAAAATCCTAGGATAGTTTTGGTTAGAAGGGGCATTTAAAGGTCATCTGGTTTATTTCCCTGTGCCAGGGCCAGGGCCATCCTCAATGAGATCAGGTTGCTCAGACCCATCCAATCTGGCCTTGAGTGTTTACAGGGATGGGACATCCACCTCTCTACCAAAATTTTTATTTATTATGACTTTCTGTACCTTCACAGGATCTTTATTTAGTACACTACCTTGGAAGTTCTCTTTGAATATATTTTACTCTTACAATTTTTCATATTCTGCTCATCTTTCCTGTTACTCCAGTGAGAATATTCAAATAAAACACAAATAAGCACATATGCCACTGTTTTCATGACTGGGTTTTTGAGCTGCCAAGGCAGGGAAGGTCTGGACAATCTGCCTCCCCTCCCACATGGAGAGACCATTGGGGGTTGCACTTGGAATGCATTTTCTTCTGCCTTTTTTTTTTTGTCACAGGAACTGTTGCTACTTTCCTTAATGTCATGTGCAATGTAGGGCCATATCTAAATGAGGACACCAATTCTTTATACCTCCTCATGTGGAGAAACCAGTCTGGAGTTGGAAAGCAATGATTTCCGGGGAAAATCAGGAAATATCAAAATCAGGGCTCACCTGTCTCCGAAGGTCTCGTGTTTTCTTGGTCATCTTGTCAATTGCAATGTTGAGTGGGTCTCCCTTCTCCTTCCTTCCAGTCTGTTAAAAACACAAAATTTTAGAGTTAGAGAAAAATCCTCTAGGCAATATAAACTTTAACCAAAAAATTATAAGGATTCATCAAAGGAAATTATTGCAGCTTTTTTGTTTGCTACCATCAAGTTGATATTTCCAAAGTAATGTTTTTAACGTGTTTACGTGCAGGAGGCACAGAAGATTATTTTAGAACAATCCTAAAGTGATAAGAACAAAGATTAAGGTGACTCACCGGAGAGTTCAGAACTTTTCCACCAATAAATTATGTGCATATATTATAGCTAATACTCAAAAAAATCTGGCAAGACCTTTCACTATAAAATGAATATTAAGAGTTGCTAATCTCCATTCTGCCAAGCACTGGGAATGTTAAACATGATAATAAGCAGCAACACAGCTTGAGGACAGAAGGAAAATGGTCCCTACGCCTGTAACAGGAATCACATTGGCAGACATTAGGTTCAGTATAAAGAAGAATTCCACTTAAAACACTTTCCTGCAGGAAGTCTCAAAGCAAAACTCCTCATGAAGATTAAAAAGGGGGAAAAAAGCCTTTTGTGTCACGTAACCAATGGGGGGAAAATATGGTTTTCAGGTTCAATGGCACAAAAAGCATGAAGTGACTTTGTTAGCTGTATTACCTTTCTCTTAAGAGAAAACTACTTCTCTAAAGATTTGTCACATCTTTTGCACATTGAACTCTGTTTGAAAGCTTTTCATCAAGAATCAAAATGATCTTCCATTCTTTCTGGCTGTACTCTTTCCTTCCCAAGGCTGTTTTCAAATGCTTCTATTTAGAATTGTTCCTTGCATATGATTAAGAGCCATTTTCTCTCTCCAGCTGAGCCTAATAGCACACGGTTTCTGGGAGCTATTGAGAAGTCACTTTTGGGGTGGGATGGGGATTAAAGACACCCTTTCAATGGTACCCTCTCACATGTACAGCACTGTTATCAGCCCTACATTGGCAAGAGGCCTCTGTTCCAGCCTTTGCTTTAGGCATTCATTCCAGAGAACGCCTGCTTGCTGTTACTGCCTGTAATCCTAATTATGACACGAGGCCAAAGCTTTTATGATCATTTAAAAATCTGTAAAAACCATCCCCTTTCTTTTATATAGAAATTCAAACACAACAATATCAAGTGCCACCAGAATTTAATACAAAACATAAATTTACCTCTTAGCTTTCTAAAAAGGATCCATTACAAATTCTGGAGTTAATCACACAAATTGACACCAGAAAACAGAGATAAAGCATTTGCTATCACACAAGAGGAGGCATCTGTGTCACCCGCTGATATTTTTATCTCACTTTTCTTGTGTTCATCCTTTGACTGAGTTCTTCTGGTCCCCAGCTGAAGAACCACATCTCTTTAGCCTGAGCAATGTCAGCACAGGCTTTTGGTTTTAGATGTCCCAAATTCAGTCCCTGGTATTTTGTTCAAGACAGCAGGTGTCATATGTACACACAATCGAGCCTGTTTTTCAAGCTGAAATTTCACAATAAAGCTGAGGCAGAAAAGTTGGGTTCAGGAAGCCTCTCCTGATGATAGAATGGTGCAGCAGGGACTGCCAGATGAGCCAGCCTCAGCCTGGCTCTAGTTTGTTAGACTGCAGAGTTACAGTCTAAGAAAACTTAGAAAAAAAGAAAATTACTCCAGCTGTGTGCTGTGCAGTAGCTGAACCAAGTTTCCTTGGTTAAATTCACACTCTGGGATGCTTTATTTTCCCAGTCAAATAATTCAATTTATCTAATATTCTTTAAATTCTTCTCTTCCTTCTAATTGTTTAAGCTTTAATGGACTGGCTTAGAAAGATCCAAAACCACAGAAGACATGTTAAGATTTTTTTCTTTTTAGGGAAAAGATAACCTTTGCTTGGCACTTTTTCTTTCCTTATTTTAAATAAAATCAGGGAATAATTTACTAAACAGGCCAAAACTCCGGTGAGACTGGCACAATGTGAATAATCAAAGAGCAAACACCAAGACACTTAAGACTACACAGGGATGGTATTTTACAGGTCTCAAATAACACAAGTGGTTCACAATTCCCCTTCACTGACCTCATGCAGGGCAGATATATTTCATATTCACCACCAACATGGTGAGGTCAAGCAATTAATGCTTGGCACCCTCTTAGGGGTCAGAAAGTTGTCCTTGAGCAGGAACTTGGGAATCCTTCCAGAGTAGTCAGCTATGGGATAGAGTGACACTAAATAAATTAAGCATTTGATAAACAGCACCATTTAGAGGAAAAGGCTCCTGGAAAAGGGCATTGAAAAAAAAAAAAAAAAAAAGTAGAAATTTTGAGACTGACCTCAAAGTTTGTAATGTTCCTAATCCGGGTGTTTTGTCTGTCTAACAGGTGGGAACTCTCACTGAGAGCCGGCTCATGGCAGCCTAAATCCAGCATCCCTCCTAAACCTCCCTCCAAATCTATCTGGTAACTTTTCAACTCCAGTTTTAAATAAACAGTGTTTATATAAACAGTGGCCCTTAAGGTACATCCTCTTGTGAAACACAAAACAACTGGGAACCCTTCTGTGACCCTTAGGCCACACAACACAAACTGTCCACATCCATCTGGCCAGTCCCTGGTCCCTCCGAAGCAGAGCAAAGCCTGTCCCACATTTCTGTGTGCAATTGCCCAAACTGTGCCTCAGTGCTGCCTGAGATGCTAAATGGGATGTGCTGGAAACTGGAAAACTAAACCAAAACAAGAGATCCAGCTGAGCTCTCTCAATGACAGTATTTTATTAATGCACACAAATAAGGCTGATGTCTCCCGTTCTGCACCATTTTTACTTATGCAGGAATTTTAACTGACCTTCACCTGTTACTTATAAAATGGCCTTTTAGTCTGTATGCAAACCCCCTTCTTCAGCATATGATTTCAAAGAAATTTGTTTAGTAAATCACATTATTGAAAAATAACTAGCATGGCATGTGATGCTACATAGCTTCAGGCAGGTCTGTCAAACACCATCTGCTCTGTGCTGAAAATATAAGTTTATTAAAGTTTATTTATTTAAGTCCTTAAATACTCTTATTTTATTGTTGCTCTGTGATAAATTTTTGGCCTTCATTCCTAGAAGGGATAGAAAGGAATTTATTGGTTTCCTGAAAAAATGAAAAAGCTTGGTATCGAGCCATTTGCCATTTCTCTGTTAATCTTTCTCTGCAAATGGAAGAAAGATACTTTGGGATGAAAAGGAAGTAAAAATTGCTGCTGGCATTGGGTTAAAAGGAGAAGGAGGAGAAATGCACAGAATTCCTTGAATGCCAAAATATCTGTATTCAAGTTCTCATGGACAGAATTACATCTATTCATGGTGTAATGAGGAGAACTTTGCAACAGGAGAATATATTAATCAAGTCCCTGATTTCTTGTGACCATTAACAGCATTTGCATACTCAAGATATTTTCAAACAATTTTCTCAGTCTGAGTTGCTTCCATTCTAATTTCCTCAGAGCTTTTCCCTGCCCATCTGATTTATTTTCAGTTCAGGATGAGCCAATTCCAACAGGCTCTGACCAGGGGCTGTGCTGGCTGCAGACTGCCCCGGGTCAGGAGAGGATCTTCCTACTGCATTCCTGCCCCGAGGCTGCATGTCCCTCCCAGGTCACTTCACGTCAGATCCAGCTCCCTGAAAACTAACACTAAAGTGTTTGTAAGCCTGATTTGCCACCTCACATGAGGAGCTGTGTAGTTTTTCAACACATCCATGTCTGGTAAGTGGAAGAAATCAAGGTACTGACGGTTCTGTTACTCCAGAAAATGCCTACAGTCCCAACCAGTGCCAACAGCATTATCTGAACAATAAAGACAGAACACAGTAATGTGTATCAAAGTCTGAAAAGCCTTACAGGTAAAACTGCGTGGTACTAAGGCTAGAATTTATTTATACAGGGAATTTCAACTTCATTTGGTTAGGAAATGAAATAAAATAAGAACAAAATGCACTTAAGGATGGTGAGAAATGTCAGTATCTGCTGAATGCTAGAAAGATCTCTGCTGAGGTATAGCACTGGTATTCCTTTTTACAAAGACCTTTCCCTCTCCTTCCATTTTTCCTTTTTACACTTTAAATTGTTAAGGTAAAATATTAAACTCCCCAAATATGTATCACAACTATTAAGGACATTTACATCCCACGATTTGCTCATTACAGAAGTCTTTTGATCAGCATGAGGTACTGAACAGGACGTTTTTCTAACCCTAGAGAATTCACAGAACCAAGACAAGGACAGCCAGGCCAATCAGCCCAGAGACTCAGTGCATTTTACATGAGATATGGTCAACCTTGGAAGAAGGTGCTCCAGACTGGAACTGTGTTGTTGGTTCTTAATAATTCCTGATATACCACAAACGAGGAAATCGCAGAGCTCAAATTTCAGCCCACAAAACAGATGAAATTACTATTACCAAAAGTATGATAAGGACAGATGTTATTGTAATGAATATATTTGCACTGAAAAGTTAGGATCACCTAGAGATGTTGGGGGAGCAAAGCCAATACTTCGAGCACGTTATTATAAAAAAATGCCAGATGAACAAGTAACCTATAATGTAAGTAACCTGACAATGGTGACCTATAAAAGGGGATGGAATGCCAAGAAATACACAAAAAGTGGGGCAAGAGCAGGCTACAAAAGAATATCACAGGCAAAACCCCAATGTGTATCACAACTAAAAGAGTGATTGTTACAGAACACTATTTTCCTTTAAAGTTTGCAATTTAGAAGCTCAGGGTTTCAATTAAACAGTAACAATATTAATAACAATAATCAATGAAAGATGTTTTGGAACCACCATTTTCAGACATTCCTCTTTTTTCTGTGCTGCTTCAGATGTAAGCCAAAATATCTGGGAGAGTCAATCTCCTCAAACATCAAGTGTTGCATGTCCAAGACGCTCTCACTATTGTTTCAAGTAATTTAGCCTCCAGGAGACAGCTGGAAAGATTATCTATTGATCCAAAAGCTACCAAACACTGATCT